CTATCTATCTATCTATCTATCTATCTATCTATCTATCTATCTATCTATCTATCTATCTATCTATCTATCTATCTATCTATCTATCTATCTATCTATCTATCTATCTATCTATCTATCTATCTATCTATCTATCTATCTATCTATCTATCTATCTATCTATCTATCTATCTATCTATCTATCTATCTATCTATCTATCTATCTATCTATCTATCTATCTATCTATCTATCTATCTATCTATCTATCTATCTAATCACTCTTCCCCACGCTCCCCCCCTCAGCCCCCTCCCACTTTCCCGGTCCTCCCGCGGCGGTCCGTTCCCCCATTCTACCACCAGGGGGCGCAACAGCTCCGTTTCCCCCCCCCCACGTCTCCTCTCCGCCGTCTCCCCGCTTCGCTTCTCCGGCGGGCGCGTGATGACGTCACCACGCGCTGACGTCACAGCAGAGACGCCCCCGGCGCCTCGCGCGGCGCCCGCAGTGTCCGCCGCAGAGCGCTACGAACCGGCGCTGACGGAGCCGAGCCGAACCGAACGGAGCCGAGCCGAACCGAACCGAACGGAGCCGAGCCGAGCCGAGCCTGCCCTTCCCTTCCCCTCCCCGCCCTCCGCTCCGCCCCGCCGCACGATGTCGGTCCTGGAGCCCGCCGGCGGCGAGGAGGCGAAGCAGGCCAAGGAAGCGGAGGACGCCGAGAAGTTTTCCTTCATGGCCACCGTCACCAAAGCGCCCAAAAAGGTACCGGCTTGTCGGGGTTCGCTCCGTGCTGCATCGCGTTGAGCTGCCTGGAGTGATGGGCTGAGCCGCGAGCGCTGCCCTGGGGCGGCCCGAAGGGCAGCGGGGTGAAATTCGGCGTGCGGAGCGAGCCGGAGGCCGAGCAGCTCCGTCGCATCGCCGTGCTGCTGGGCGGGGAGCTGCGTGTCCCCGCAGGTCGGCACGGTGCTGGGCTCTGCGTCCCCGCAGGGCTCCGCGCTGGGCTGCCGGGGATCCCCGCGTGCTCGGAGCCGAGCTCTGCGCGTGGTTCCGGCGGCGCCGTGCTGGATGTTCTGCTCTCGGTGCCTCTCGTTGTGAGGGGGGTTGGAGGTTTGGAGGTTTTCTCGTGCCCAGTTCTGTTTATCCAAGCTTTGGACGTGGCCTGGAGGAAGGAACAGAGGAATGCGGAGCTGGGATCTTGCAGGGGAGGCTCAGGCGTTGTTTTTCCGTTCTTATTGGTGTTGTTTTCCACGTAGCTGGGATGTTTATGGGGTGAGGCTGGGAGGAGAGCAAGCAATGAATCCCGAAGCATCCTACATAGAGAACGAGGAATGAGCTCTGTGCCCAGGGGGATTCAACCCGGTGTTCTCAGAGGTGAGGTTTGTCTGTGCCTGGGCAGGTATGGGATGCTTTCTTACCTTGGGTTTGCTGCTGCGTGCACGGCTTCGTTGCACAGCACCGAGAGCAGCCGTCAGACTGCAACGGCTGGGTGGTGATGCTGGAGGTGCCCTGAGCGACAGGAGGCGTTTGAGGCTGATAACATCAGCAGGCGCTGAGATCCTGGGGAGCGTGAATTGCTGAGGTCAAGGAACAAAACGCTTCGGGCCGCTCTTCTCCTTGCCTGAGTAGTTTGTGCAAATAGGGCTTGGTAATGGTGGAAAGGACGAGGATGGAGAATTGCCCTTCTGTGATACGGTGCCCCCAGGTCGAGGCATTTCAGATGCCTTCCAAGCGGGATTGCAATTAAACCATTAAAATGCCTCTTGGTTTTAATGCAAGCCAAAGCTGCTTAAGGCAGTTCTCAGCACAGAAGATGGCTGAGAGGTGGAGCTGGAGGACGCTGTGCACCCTCTTTTGGCTTCCTTGAGCTTTGGGATGGAGTGCTGGGCAGTGGGGAGGGTGGGACGGTGCCGAGCTGTGTGTGACCTGCCACCAATGAGCTCCTCATAGAGCAGCCTTGCCTTGTGCCAGCACACAGGGTGGGTGTCCCCAGCCTGGGGCTCTGCTTGAGCGCTGGGGAGCAGCTCAGCCGCGTTGGAGGTGTGTGGACCCCGCAGCATTACTCTCCTTGGTGACGCTGACCCAGGTGCGTTTTTTCCCCCTCCTGTCATTGATTTGCTTAAGGTGAAAAAGTGAAACAGCAGGAGGTAAGAGATTAAAAGATTACATACAATCAACTCCGGATTTAAGTCGCAGCTGCGGCTGTCGAGGCGCTCAGAGCTGTGGGCTCCCTGCAGCAATGCGGCCGGTGCTCCTCCAGGAGCTGCTGGCGTTGCCTGCAGGCTCTGAAGCTCCTTTGCTGCTCCGCTTTACAGTAACCCGAGCTGTCAGCAGAACAGCAGCAGCTGTGGTGGGGGCGATTTGGCTGCTGGGCAAGGAGAGCTTTGCAGGCAGAGGTGAGCGATGCTGAGCCCGGTGCTCTCTGCTGCGCGTGCCCTGATGTGATGGGGGGGGCGGGGGGGAGGGTTGAGGCTGCTTTGTGGACGCGGGGATGAAGGAGAACAGAAGGGCAGTGTGTGCTCTCCCTGCGTGCCATCATTGCTGCAGTTGGGCTGCCTGCACCCCTGAGACTCGCAGGCGCCCTTGGAGGCGGATTTTCCCAGCCTGTCTCAGCTGGTTGCTGCAGCCCTGAGCTCCCGCTGTGCTGTGTGCCCTTGAGCTGGGGGGCGGGGGGGGGGGGGGAAGAGCAGGGGGAGCTTTGCATGCTTTGTCCCTGTTTGTCACCCATCTGCCGTGAGCTCCATGCAGGCACCTTCACGCTCGGGCGCTGGCGGACAGACGGACGCTCTCCCCCTCTGCAGACAGATCTGCTTATTCATGCAGTGAACGTGGAATGAGCTCCAGCGCTGCGTGCTGGGGTTGGTGCTGCAGCCCTGCAGAGCCGTGCGGTGGGACACGGCGCTGCTGTGCTGTGGAGCTGGCAGGAGGTGGGAGCAGGGGACCCCGAGCAGCCTCTGCTGCAGCTTTTTGCTGCTGAGTGTTCCCTGACCTTGCTGCAGTCTGCTTCTGTGCTGGGCTTCAGCCCTGTTGCTCTCTGTCCTCACATGTCTGTAATCCCTGCCGTGTGATGCTCAGGAACCCAGCATCCCCTCGGCATTTCCTGGGGACGGGGCTGCCCTTGTGCTGACACGGCTCTCAGGGCTGCTCATTTTTGCTCTGCCTTTAATTGCATCCCTCATCCTGGCTGCTCCTGAATCCTGCCTGCCTCTCTGTGCCTGTCCCCCACTGTGGCCACCTCCTCTGCTGGTTCTCAAACCAGATGCTGTGTGCTCAGCTGCTTGCTTCCTTCCCCAACCATCTGTTCTTCTATCATCTCCCTGCACTTTTCCCTTCCCATATCCAGTGTGTATGTGTTTGGGGGAGCAGGGGGGGGTCCTCCTGCTCAGCACGGAGCTGATTTGGCCTTTGCTCGGAGTGGGGAGGCAGCTAACACATTGCTGTGCCCTACAGTTGGGGCCCCTGACCCATGGCGAGCGCGAGCCATGCAGTGTTGTGAGCTGAGATGCTTTGCTTGGGGCTGGGAGCAGGGGTTGGTGGTGCTTTGTGAAGTGACAGCATCTGTAATGAGTTGTGTGAAAGCCGCTCTTGGGTTGTTTTCATTGCTCTCCATTCTCCCTGTCCTGCAGCACGCCAGGTCGGCTGTTTCCACTGCGCTTGCTGACCTTCAGGGGTAGGAAGGGGTCTGGATGTCCATTCCCTGCACTCCTCAAGAGCAGCTCTGGCCTTCTGGTGGTGCAAGCCGTGCACAGATGGGCTCTGGGGCTCCTGGCCCTGGTGGGAGCCCCGATGGGAGCACGGGAGGAATACTGGCAGCAAGGCCCTGTTTTCTTTAGGCCTTTCCCAAAATCACAATCGGGCTGGGTCCAGCCCTCCACCAATGCTTGCTTTGGGACCCTGACAGTTTTCCCTGTGTGTTGTTCCCTGCCCAAGCTGGATCCTGTTTGTGCTGCCCCTGCTCAGGGCTGTGGCTGGGCGTCCTTCTCTAACAGCCAGCAAGCCTGGCAGTGAGCCTTGCCAATAAGCAGCCGGTTCAGCCCAGGCTTTTGCAGGTGAGGACGGTGCCCTGCTCCTCCCAGCAATCTCTGAGCACCACATCCCTGCTGTTTGAGCAGCACTCAGTCCAGGAGATTTGCTTCTGGCTGGCTGGACTCGTTATTATCATCGCGAGCTTCCTGTGGGCAACGCTGCTGTTTGCAGAGGGCTTTGCTTCACTTCCTGCTGAGCCCTTTGATCGACGCCTGCTTCTCTGGGGACTCTGCCTCACGTTGGCCTGGAGCGTCGTGGTGACGTTGCTGCCAGGCCCACGGAGCGCTGCCCGCAGGGGACCTCGTGCCAATGCTTCGGCAGCACGCGATCGCCCCCCTTCTCAATGACTTCAGGAGCGTGGGTCGATTTGAGAGGTTCGGGGCCACTGTAGGAGGCTCAGAAAGTCCCCAGCATCACAGCAGGGCCCCCTGTCACAGCTGCAGGCGGGGGCTGCCTTTGGGAGGCCACCTCAGTTGCCCCGCGGCGCGCTTGAACGGCGCCTTTTAATTCCGCTCGGGGATCAATACGGTGGCCGTGGTAACGAGCTTATTGCTGCTGCAGAATCTGTTTACTTCAGGTTGGTGACGGCCAAAGAACTTCAATGGCTGGGGACATGACGTTCCAGCTAGTTAAACAGGCTGTGCTGTCATTCGGGTGAGGCTCCTGCTGCCTTTGGAGGTGGGTACAGCTTCTCCTGCAGAGCTCGCGCTGCCCAACTTGGCTGGCTGGGGTTTGTGCAGGTGGCAGGAGCCTGGGCTGCGGGCAGGACGTGAGGATCGTTCACTTCTTCCCCCTCCTGCTGCCCCTGATGGAACTGCATCAATCCTGCTGCCAAGGAGGGCTCAGCTCTGCTCCTGCGTGATGCTGATTCCCTTACAGCCATGGCGTTGGGATGGAGCATCTTCCGACCACGGTTGGGCCTGGGGGTTGAGGTGCTCGGTCTCTTGAAAGACCAAAAGAAGTCTTGAAGTGCTCCTGGCTTCTGCAGGCTGCGTCTGGGGAGGAAGCAGAGGCAGATGGGGCAGCCTGGGTGTTGGGCTGCCTTGCTGCTCGTGGCTTTGGGTTAGGAGAGGTTTGGGGTTTTCTGCCAGCTTGCACAGCAGAGCTGGCCGAGCCCTCTGACAGCACTCCTGCGTGTTCCTGCATCCTTTTCAAGCTGGAAGAAGTTGGGTTTCCTTTAAAAATGGCCATTCATTGAAGTTGGTTCCCTGTCAGCTGTGACGCACAGATTTCTGTGGCCCTCGAGCTCTGTTCTGCTGGGGCTCTTAGTGGTGGCTGATGGGTGAGTTTGTGCCCTCTCCAAACCCATCAGAGCCCTGAGCCCACAAAAGGCTCCTCCTGAGTGATGCTTTCCCTGTTCCCAAGCCTTATCCGCCCTCCACAAACCTTGCTATCTCTGCTGGGGGGTGCGTGGGCTGACCAACAATCTCTGTTTGCACTGCAGGAGGTGTGCAGGTAACCCCAGCTGGTTTGGAAGGGTTGAACCCCGCAACCTGATGGGCGTTCACTGCCCGTGCAGATCTGGTATCAGACTGCTCCAGGAACTCTCCCATAGGGAGCAATGCTCTGCCTGGAAGCCTGGAGTCCAAGGACCAGGTGCCTTATCTGCTGCTGGAGAGCTTTCCTCTGCCGCTGCTGGAGGCAGCACACCTTTGACCTGAAGGTGTTTATAAGGCAGCAATTATTCCCAGTTACTCTTTAACAGTCGGGCGCTTAAAATCACATTGATTTTATTTAATCCCGTGCTCTGTTTAATTTTCCCCTCACCAGCATTGGGTGATTCGTGGGGTGGCCGAGACCTCGCGGCGCTTTGCAGCCTTGTAAACCTTTGGGGTGAACCTTTCCTGCTGGTCCTTCACCTCTCCCGTGAGCTGAAAGTCTGTAATCCTTCTCCTGTGCTCATGGAAACTTTCTGGTTTTGTTTTTCATCCCCCAGCACTTTCCTCTGCCAGCAAAGGATGGAGGATGGTGTCAGGGCTCGGCCAGCTCGTTTGGCCAGGACCTCAGTGCCCTTTATTTCCTTGTTGGGAACTGCAGAGCGTTTCAGGCTGAGCTTTGGCTGTGATTCCTGCTCAGCTCTGCCTTGCTGGCAGCAGCTCCTGCCTTCCTGAGCTGCAGGTATGGATGGAAGCAGCGCTCTGTGGAGATGATCCCTCTTTGATCCGTGAAGCTGAACCGAATCACCCCCCGAAGCACATGGGGATGTCTTCAAAGGGTTGGGAAGCTGCTGTGTCACCGAGGAGAAAGTCCTCGAGCTGTGACTGCCACGTGGGGCAGGGCTGGCTCCTGCTTGTTCATGTGATGGCTGCTGCTCTGCAGGTCATCAGAAGATGCTGATGTTGCTGCTGTGGCCGTGGCCAAAGCTGTGGGTGTTGCTCATGCCAGCCCCCTGCCCATAGCATTATAGAATCATAGAATCATGGAGCTGGAAGGGAGCATCAGAGGTCATCTCGTCCCAAATCTGCTCTGGCTGGGGTTTTTCTTTGCTGCTGAGTGGATTTGGGCTGGAAATCTGGTTGTGCCTCCAGCTTGGCCACGGCCTCCTGCCAGCTTGTGCAGTCTCACATCTTGTAGCTTGGTTCTGGCTCACCTGGCCGGCAGGAGGAGGTAGAATGGGGTGGCTGGATGAACCACAGGGCCAAATGTGCACCTGGAGCCTTTCTCCAAACCTCCCCTTGGTGCTGGTTTGGAGCTTGGCGTGGTGAGAGGTCAGGATGGGAGCTGAAACCTGTGTCCCCATCTGCCTCATTCCTTGGATCCTTCAGGGCAATGCAGGCTAGAAATGCCCCTGGGGTTGGGTAACCTGGCAGAGTTGGTGCCCAAAAACACCCATGGCTGCCTTTGTGACTTCTATCCCAAAGCCACACACGTTTGGTTGAGTCCTGAGCAGCATCTTTGCCCCTGGATGGGTCCCTGCCCCCACTGTGGGTGCTGCTGTGCTCGAGGAGGCTGCAGGAGCTGCGTTTGGTCAGCTTGCAAGTAGGGCAGAGTGGGGCTGAGGACAGCACTGCCTGCCTGGGGCTGCTGCCAGCAACTGTGGCTGTGCTCCCCAGCAGCATCTCCAGGGCCTCTCTGGACGGGTGGCTGCAGGATCAGAGCCCAGAAGGAGTTGTCCCCTCTCCAGGGGGCTGTCCTGAGCAAACCTGCTGCTCTGCTCTTCTTTTTGACCTAGAAAATAAGAAAAGCCTCGCGCTGTGTTGGTTGTGGTTGTGTTTTTTCCCTCTTTTTTCGTCTTTTTTTTTTTCCCCTTGGCTGCTGTGTGACTGGAGAGGCCTCAGCCCCTGGGGTGCCTTTTCCCTTCCTTCCTGCCGCATTGAACTGAACGCAGCGACTCTCTGCTGAAAAGAAATGAATCAGAACAATTGTCGTTTAGAAACGTCCAAACTCAGCAGCACGGCGAAGCTGTGCATGAGAACACAGCCACGGCTTCCCCAGAGCAAACTGCACGGGGCAGTGGGATTTCTGCACAGGTAATTGCCTGGGCATCGGAAGCTGCCCACCTCCAGGCCTGCAGAGCTCTGCGTGCCCTCCCAGCAGCTGGGTGCTGGGCTGGTGAAGGGGGTGGGTGCTGAGATGGAAGGCACAGGCTGCTTGAATGCATGGGAACGACAAAGCAAGGGGCTGAAGGCAGGTTGCAGGAGGGGTGCTGCAGTGTGGGCGGCTGCTGACCGCCTCCCAGCCTTGGGGTGATGCTAAACGGGGGTTGGCTGCCTTGAGTTGCTTTAGGTGGGTCACCTCCTTGCCTCGCACGGAGCTCAGGGCTGGATCCCACTGAGTCAGGCAGCGTGGCTGCACCGTGTGCTCAAGGTGGTGGCTGCAGTCCACGGCTTCTCCCAGATGCTGGGGAGTGTTGGGGTGGGAGCCGCAGCCGTGCTGTGTTTTGCAAGGGGAGGAAATGTACTTCTGCCTCATCAGGTGTGATTGAGGTCGTGTGTGGTTGGCGGGCAGCACAGCTGGGCTGAAACTTGGCAGGCAGACCTCAGGTCCTGGTGTTTTCCTCCAGGGCAGCTCGCTGAGCCCTGCGCTCCCAGGCTGGAGCTCCGCACGATGCTTGATGCTCACAGGCACGCAGCTCTCACCCTCCCCCCCCATCCGGCTCCATCCATCCCAGCCCTGCTCCGTGCTGAGGGATTGGGGGATTTTGGCCTTGCTGTAATGCAGCAGTGCCCACCCAGTGCTGCAGTCCTGACGTGCCAAGCAGGCTCGGTTCAGAAGCCGTTTGCTGCGTTGGGCGATAATTTTAGATGGGGCAGATTTTGCTAAGCTGCACGGTTCAGATGAGCTCTGGTAAAGCCACGGTGGGGATTACCGTGGTTAATTCAGCACTGTGTTTCCTTAGCAGTGATGTTTCTTTTTTCCCTTGGTTCAAACCCAGTTCCCGGAGCTGCTGCTCCAAGCAGTGGCACCTTGCCGTGCCTCGGAGCTGCTGCTGCGTGCATCAGTGGGGATGGTGGCGGTGAAGCACAGCCCCATCCCCACCCTCACCCCATGCATCTCCTGTTTGCCATCCACGGGGAGGTGTTACACCTGGGGCTGCCGTGCGCTGGGTGCCCAAGCTGTGAGCTGACACGTGCCTGCTGCCTGTGCTGCAGCACCAGACTGCGTTGTCTGCGCTGTTTTATCTCCTGGGTTCACCTCTTTCCTGGAAAACTTTTCCTGAGATAGAGAAAACACCTCAGCTCGGGCTTTGAAGCTGGTTTAATGCCAGCAGCTATCTGATGGGGGCATGTTTACACCCTCTGCTCTGACGGGTTGCCAGAGGGATGGGCTGGGAGTGGTGCTGTGCTGGCGGCGTTGCTGCTCTGCGTTCCACCTGGAAGCACACTGTGCTGCTGCAGGAATGGCACAGCCATCTTTGGGCTCTCTTTGGTAAGCTGGAGCCAAGCAGCAGGCCTTGAGCAGGGCCTGGCAGCATCATTCCTTGGTTGGGAAGGCAGTGTGTCCGCCAGGATGCGGCTGCTGAGCACCTGGCACTGCTTGCTGGATGTGGTCCCACACCTCTGAGCTCTCCTGTGAGTTGGGACACCTTCGGGTTCCTCCTCCTTCTGCACTGAGCGACCTGAAAGGATTTTGCAAAGCCAAAGCTGCAAACTCCATGGAGATTCCCAGTCCTCCCAGCCATGCACACGGCCCCAGCAGCACGCAGCCATCCTCTGCCGGGTTCCTCCTGTCTGGGATGGATGGCTCAGCTAAATAGCTTCATTCTTCTGCTCTCAGAGCCTGCTTGCCACATCAGAGCTTTTGGGGATTGCAATGGCATGGAAACCCCCTCCTTGAGGCCTCTATGCTGATCTCTTCAGGGCTTTTCTGGAGGTTTCCTATGCCCATGGGGATGCTGTTAACGATACTCCTTGCAATGAGGTCTCATCCTTATTAAAGTGCCCAAATTAAATCCTGCAGTGACCATCAGAGGGAAGAGACCGCAAAGGGGCTCTTTGTCAGCAGGGTGGGGGTCCTGTCCCCTGTCAGCAAGCCAGGGAGGCCCTGGGGCTCTTTTCCTCATTGCCTTGAATGCAGCTCTTACAGGAGCAGTGGGGCTGTTGCTGGCTGAGCAGAGGCACTTTGGGGCTGTTTTGCCCCTTCTTTGAGGCTGATGGAGCCCTGAGTTGCCTCTGGCCGAACCGGGAGGGAGGAAGAGCTGTTGGAGGGCATCTCTTCCAATGGAAACATCTGTAACAAGCAGGAGATTGAAAGTCAATGCAATGTCAACTGCGTTTTGTTGAAATGTTCCCTCGCTGGTTTTCTCCCCCCCCGGCTCTTAGTGTGGGTTTTGGAAGGACGTGCCTTGTTTTTAACCTGGGAAAGGAGATAGGAGTGCCAGGATCGCAGCTGGTGCTGGGACCAGCTCTGTCAGTGCTGTGTTTTTGGGCAGAAACAGCAGAATTGGTGACGGAGGGGCTGATGCTGATGGAGCTGCGTGGGGACCTCAGCCACCCAGGGCTCGGCCAGAGGGCTGCACAGTGCTTGCCCTGCAGGAGCACACCAGTGTTCTTGGAGCCAGAGGGGATGGTTCCAAGGCTCTTTGTTTTGACCTCGGGTGTTAGGCACCAAATCTGCTACGAAATTCTGGTGGCAGGGATATGAGGAGGCAGAAGAGGAGGTTGTGATTCGGGCGCCTGCAGCCACGGAGCCGCTGCTGGGTACGTTTGGTAGCGCTCAGTTCTGCGACAGCGGCGCACTGCAAGGAGCCCTGGGCCCGTGTGGCCACAACAGATGATGGAGCACGGGCTCACTTAGCACTTTCTCTTCCTTTGCATCTCTCAGCAAATCCAGTTTGCAGATGACATGCAGGAGTTCACCAAGTTCCCAACCAAGACCGGCCGCCGCTCCCTGTCCCGCTCCATCTCGCAGTCTTCCACCGACAGCTACAGCTCTGGTAGGTGACCCCAGGGCTGCTGGCAGTGCTGCTGTGGCATTGGTTTCAGGGTGCTCTGTATTGCTGGGCTGTGCTCTGAGGTGTAAAGGGTGGTTCTGGGGTTCTGGGAGGTTTGTATTCTGCTAAATCAGCCTCATTCGTTCTCATAGTTGGGCTTCTGTGCGTCACACAGCGCGTCCCAAGGAGGCTGTGGATGCCCCATCCCTGCAGGCATTCGAGGCCAGGCTCTGAATGTGGCTCTGGGCAGCCTGGGCTGCTGGTTGGCAACCCTGCACGTAGCAGGGGGTTGGAACTGAATGAGCACTGTGGGCCTTTTCAACCCATGCCATTCTATGACTCTATGATCGCTCAGCACTGAGTTGTTTTCAAGAGTGAGAGTGCCAGATTCCTTATGGACAAGGCTTTTCCTTGTGAGATCTGTAGTCTGAGCCATAAGCACGTGCATGCATGAAAGCCAGGAAGCAAAACGGGGCAGAGAGCACCAGGACTGGGGGTGACACGCGTTCCTCTGCTGGCTTTAGCTGCCTCCTACACAGACAGCTCTGACGATGAGGTTTCCCCCCGTGAGAAGCAGCAAACCAACTCCAAAGGCAGCAGCAACTTCTGCGTGAAGAACATCAAGCAGGCAGAGTTTGGACGCCGGGAGATTGAGATCGCTGAGCAAGGTGAGGGGGGGCTGTGGGGGTCTGAGGGGCTCTGGGTGCTGAGCCAGGGGGGTTCCCACAACTCTCCTCGTGGTCTCGGGTGCCTCCAGTGCCTTCTCTTCCCTCCACAAATCAGCACGCGATGTGGGGAAGAGCTGAATGCAACAGCAAGCATGAATGATAGGTTGCATTTGTTTTTGAGCGACAGCAGGGCTCTGTGTGTTCCTGGGGTTTTGGATGGGGAGCCTCAGTGGGAGAGGATCTTGCAGCTCCTTTGGAGACGCTAAAACTGTCTCAGCCTCTTCCCTTGTGGCTTGTGGAAAGCTGAGTTACCGTTCTGATTGGGTAACTTTGCTCCCAGGCTCCTTTTAGACACAAGCTACCAAAGCCAGAGAAGGGTACAGAGCCATTTAGAGCAGCTCTTTCGAGGTATGGCAGCACTGTTTCCATCTTTAGGTGTTTCTTATTGATGTGATCCTGCTGCGAGGCTGGTGGCTGCCCTTAATGGGGGCGCCCTGGTGCTTGCCCTGGGCAGCACCCACCCCACACCCCCTTCATACGTGCCTGGGAGGTGCTGTGTCCCCGTGGCTTTGCCAAGGGACAGATGATGCTGGTGTCCTGATCCCAGTTTGGACAGAGCTGTCAGAGCAGGGGCAGGGAGGTTTCTCCTTGACGGCACAGTGACTATGGCAAGAGCAATGGGACCAGATGTGTCCTGCGAGACCCTTGAGAGGAGAGCAGATCTGGCAGAAAGGGGTCCCACCCTGGAGTGAGCCATCATTAAAAGCCATCATTAAAACCCCTGCGTTCCTTTTGCAGACATGTCTGCTCTGATTTCACTCAGGAAGCGAGCTCAAGGGGAGAAACCTTTGGCCGGAGCTAAAATCGTAGGCTGTACACACATTACAGCACAGACTGCGGTGAGTGGCTTCTCATTTGGGCATCCAAGGTGGGAAAAGCCACCTTTTTCCCCACTCTCCTCCATGGGGGAATTGCTGAAGGCCCATCCGCATTCCTGGCAACCTCTCACAGAGGTTCTGCTGCCTGCATTTTCCCTGGGCAGCGTTTGTTGGAGCTGCTCCCCCAGCTCCATCCCTGGCTGTGCTGGGGCCTCCCTGCTCAGCCCTCTGTCCCACAGGTGCTGATTGAGACGCTGTGTGCGTTGGGGGCGCAGTGCCGTTGGTCTGCCTGCAACATCTACTCCACCCAGAACGAGGTGGCAGCTGCCTTGGCAGAAGCAGGTGAGTGCTGCTGAGCCGTGGGGCAGCATCCCTTCCAGTCCCTCTCTCAGTTTCAGGAAAGGCTCGGACCCAATATCTTTTAGGGATGGATATGTAGGTGAGATCCTGGGCTTTGGTCCCTGCGTGGTTCTCCTTGTCTGGGGTTTTCCCGAGCAGAAAGTTGTGCCAAACTCAGCGGGTGCCAAGGATGCTCCTCTTCTCCTTCTAGGTGTTGCCGTATTTGCCTGGAAGGGAGAGTCAGAGGATGACTTCTGGTGGTGCATTGACCGCTGTGTTAACGTAGATGGCTGGCAGGCTAACATGGTAACGAGCCTTCTTCCAGCCCTTCCTCTTCCTCTGTGGAGCCGTCACTGGGGGCTCCTCACCCTCCCCTCCCTGGGGCTGTTCTTAGGAGCCTGCCCATGTGCCTGGGCACCTGCTGGTGTCCTAAAGGCCTTTGAGTCCGTGCCAAAATCACAGGGGTCGTGGAGAATGGCAGCTGGAGCTGGGCTGGGGGTCACTGTGATGGTTGTGGGAGCTGCAGTGTCCTGAGCTGTACAGCACGATGGCATGGGAGCATCTCCTGCTGGAGCCTGTCAGTGAGTCAGGAAGCCACGAGACCTGTTTCCCTGTGGGAGCTGCCCTGACTGCTCCTCTCTTGACACAGAGCCCATCTGCAGGGGTTTCCGAGGGCTCCATTGCCTTCCTGAATGCAGATGATGCCTCTCGCTGCCTTGGCTTGGGGTCCGTGGTCACAGATGATGGGAGAGCATGTGGCACAGGACTGACAGCTCCTGCAGCCTTTCCTCTCAGCTGTTTGCTTTTGGGGCACGAATGCTGTAGCTTCCTTCTGACCTCAGGCTGTTCAGTTAGTGCTGCCTGTGGCTGCGTTTCCAGGCTGCAAAGCAGTAGCAGGGACACAAAAAACCTGTTAGGATCCATTGGCGCCACGCAGGGTACAAAATCCTCCCTTTCAGAGGGGGCCCCTGAAGCAACCAGGAGGACCCAGGAGTCCTGGCCCACAGGCAGCTCTCCAGCAGTGCCTGCAGATGCTCTCCATCTCTCTGTATCCCCCCCTCCATCCCCTGCAAGTGCTTCTCCTGGTGGAAAGCTTGACTGCCCCGTGCTCTTCCTCCAGATACTGGATGATGGTGGGGATCTGACCCATTGGGTTTATAAGAAATACCCCAACATATTCAAGAAGATCCGAGGGATTGTGGAGGAGAGTGTGACCGGTGTGCACAGGTAGGGGTTTGGGAAGGCTGATCTGAAGATCTGTCGTTGGGTTGCTGCTGTCTGCTCTGACCTGCCTCTGTCCTCTTGCAGGCTGTACCAGCTCTCCAAAGCTGGGAAGCTCTGCGTGCCGGCCATGAATGTGAACGACTCTGTGACCAAACAGAAATTTGACAACCTGTATTGCTGTCGGGAGTCCATCCTGGACGGGTGAGTGCAGCCCTTGTCCCCATCCCCAGGGCTGCTCTGCCCTCGCTGTGCGTTCGCAGGACCTGGTTTTGGGGCCCTTTGCTGTGTGCCTGACCGGTCCCAAAGCAGGTCTCTCTCTGTCCTCCAGCCTGAAGAGGACCACAGATGTGATGTTTGGAGGGAAGCAAGTGGTGGTTTGTGGCTATGGGGAGGTGAGTTTCGTGAGCCTCCCCCAGCCATCCTTTCCCTTAGCTCAGTGTCCTGCCCCTTCCCTGCTCACGTTTGATCGATAGAGGAAATCGGATCTGGGGAGCTGTCAGGAGAGACGTCTTGCTCGAGCCTGCTGGGAAGGTGGAGAGCAAGCATCACATTGCCCAGTTTGCCTGCAGATCAGCTGAGCTGCAAATCCAACAGTTGCTAGCAACGCTGGCTTGAATGATAACTAGCCATGGGTGCCCCCATCTGCTGTGCCTGGCTCCAGTTCAGCACGCAGCCCGGCTGTCGCTGAGCCTGTGGCACAGGAGGCGAAGGGCAGGCTGCCTCTTGCTGGTGGATGATGTTCTGGCAGGGGGAGGTTGAACCACGAGCTTGTAAATGATTCTGCCCTGGAAGAGCGCAGAGCTGGGAGCTGCCACCTTCCCTCCATCTGTGCGCTGTCTGTGTGGGTGTTCATCTTGCCGTGCTGCAGAGGGCCTGGCAGTAGCTGCAAATGCTCTCCCCAGCAGGAACACGCTTCCTAATTTATTTAGACACCAATGGAGCTCAGCTCTGCTCGACTGAGAAGCTGTGCTGGCTCTCTCCCAGGCTCTCTGCGGTGCTGTGTGCCTCTCCAACCATGAGTTATGCTGAGGGTTGTTGTCTCTGGGGCCTCTCCTGACGTTTACTGCAGTTCTGCAGACTGAGGAAGCCTTTCCACCCTCGCTGGTTCTCCACTGGGATGTGGGTTGATGTCCCAGTTTGCCCTTTCTGGCCATTTTCACCCAGTCGGAGCTGGGTGATGAGCAGGAGTGTCTGGTGGTGTTTCTTACCTGGTAGCACGAGGTGTCCCCAAAACAGGGCTGATTATGGGCACATGGAATCTATCAGGTGTCAGCATGGGTAAATGGCACTGAGAAAAGGGCTTTGCTGACGAGCTTCTGTGTCATTTTGTAGTGGAGAGAGAGGACTTGAGTCACTATTACAGGAGTTCTGCTTCCCCATGCTGATGCTGGGAGCATGAGGTGGAGGATCTGTTCCCCCATCAGTGCAGGACAGTGCAGGAAACCCCATGGTTTAAAGGCAGCAGGGGGAAGCACAGGCTTATGCAAGCTGTGCTGACTGTGAGTGGGGTGGTTTGGAAGCTCCTGCCAGCTGGTGGTGTGCTGGAGGGGAGCTGAGCACGTGGTGCCCAACAAGTGGAATTGTGCCTCGCTCAGCTGCTCCTGGCCTCGGGCTGAGGCTTCCAGGGCGCAGCTGGAAAACAGCTCAGGATGTTTTGGGGGAGGGATTTTAGCACTTGGTGCACCCTGCTTTTGTCTTCACATCAATGCTTTGCCTTGGCAGGTTGGCAAGGGATGCTGTGCTGCTCTGAAAGCCCTGGGAGCGATCGTCTACGTCACGGAGATCGACCCCATCTGCGCCCTTCAAGCCTGGTGAGATGTTCACAACCAACATGTAACGTCTCTTCCTCTGCTCTCTGGCCTCCTGCAAACCCTCAGAGAGGCTGAAACAGAACCAGGAGGATCTGTGGCTAAGCTCAGAGAGTATTCATCTCTTTGGGGTGTGATGGGGAAGGACCAGGGCAGTTTCAGGGCTTGTTCAGTGGTGGGATACCAGGCAGTAGGCTGCCGCAGCCAGTTGGCTTGGAAGACTGCTGTAAGCATTCCTGAAGGGCTGGCAGAGCGTTTCATACATCCCCAGCTCCCACAGCATTGTGAGAGCAGGTTTTGATGCCAGATCCTTTGCACAGCCCTTCCACTCTCATCTGGCATCTTTGGGGGTGTGGAAGGACAGCCTGGCTGCTGCTGGGAGTGATTCAGAGCTGCTCCAGCAGCGTAGGACTGAGATCCCCTCTGGCCTAAGGCAGAGAGGAACCAGGCTTCTCCTCCTTATTGTGCTTCCTGTCCCCCTTTCTCGCCAGCATGGATGGATTTCGGGTGGTGAAGCTGAGTGAGGTGATCCGTCAGGTCGACGTCGTCATTACCTGCACAGGTAGGGAGGGAGGGGGTCCTGGGTGAGCCTTGCTGCAGGCTGAGCAGTGCTCCTTCCCCAGCGGTGTCTCAGGGGCTCTGTAGCCATCAGGATGGATGCTTTGCTGCCAGGAGTCCCTCATTTTACGCTGGCAAAAGCTGCTCTCTTTAGGAGAGCTTTTCCTCTTCACTCCCAGCCTTCGGTTTGACCGCAGTCTTCCTCAACCCCTGGGAAGGGGGACATCAAAGCCATCGGTCCTCAAAGGGTTTTTGGGCTCTCCTGGCCCCTGGTGGGAGCAGAGGCAGCGCTCAGCACGTGTTTTCCTGTGATCAGCCAGGAGAATGACATTACCCCAAGCTGCGATTCCTTCAGTGCAGGGAAGGAGAAATGTGAGGGTTTATATTCCCACTGCCTCGGGTTCATCTCTGCTCTGCCTGCAGGAAACAAGAACGTGGTGACCAGAGAACACCTGGATCGCATGAAGAACAGCTGCATCGTGTGCAACATGGGCCACTCCAACACAGAAATTGATGTGGTGAGTGTCCCTGCTGCCCCTGCTGCCCCTGCTGCCCCTGCTGCCCCTGCTGCCC